GGGACACGAGTGAGTGGGTGACTAATTGACAGTCAGACTGATGCCACTTAGAAGCAAAATCAAAACCACTAGCACGTGAATGATAATATAAATAATGTGATTATGTCGAGAGCTGTGCTGTTTCACACAGTGCTGTCTGATGCATATGCCTTGCATGAATTAGAAGTAAAATTTAAAATTCAATCATCCATTTCAGTAATCCATTTTCAAGAGCTCACTAGCCAGATGTGTCCATACTGGATGGTCCAACTATGCACAAGATCCCAGAATATTTGGGACAGTGCTATATAGAATGAGAAAATAATTTGTGTTAGTTCAAAGAATTCTGTCTGTTTCTTTAAAGTCACATATAGGAGGAGCCACTTCAAAAAGTAGTAACAACTAATATCCATAGTAGACAAACTGGATGAGTACTTTTGTAAATTTGGAATGGGGAGCGTCTACCTGAAGACTAGCAGGAAGCGTGATTCCTGAGAGGACTGGGGGATGTGTGAGGAGGGACTGGGATCATGTAGAAGGGATCTTCTTTGAATGGGGTCGTAAAAGAGATGAGTACAAACAGGTAGGCTTCCATTCTCTGAAGTATAGGTTAAGCAACCTGCTGAGTGGAAGCACATGAGAAGGAGCTGGTCCGCAATCTGAGAATACATGAAAAGATGTGAAAGTTATTCCAGATAATACTAGGAAACTAGTTAACTGTAGGAAACAATTGCTTTCTAGGCTAAAGGGTCCATTTGAGGTTGGTGATCGAAATTTTATTATGCTAGCAAATCTCAATGTATATGTGTCTTAGTTCAGGTTTCTATTGTTTCAATGAAACACCATAACCAAAATGCAAGTTTGGGGGGAAAATGGTTTACTTGGCTTATGTTTTCATGTTACTGTTCATCGTTGAAGGAAGTCAGGACAAGAACTCAGACAAGGCAGAACTTGGAGTCAGGAACTGATGCAGAGGCCATGGAGGGGTGCTGCTTGTTCCTCATGACTTGCTCCCCCTTCAATTGCTAATTAAGAAAATGCTCTGTGTGCTTGCCTCCAGTCCGATCTTATGGAGGCATTTTCTCAATCAGTGTTTTCTTCTCCCAGACGACTGTAGTTCGTTTCGAGTTGACAGGTCTAGCCAGCACAATACGGACGTGTGCGTGTGTGCACATTTCCTCTGGCTGCGCTGCTGGAAGTACTGAGAAAGCAATTAGTTGGACTTTTGTGGGTTGGAATTTAGCCAAATAGGTGCTGTGGGAGACCAGAGGTAAGGCAATTGTGGATTTTTGCAACAGACCATGGTGATGACATCTGTTTGAGAAAAGGGGAAGTAGAAGCAAGAAGGGTTCTATGGATAGAAAGTGAAGGGATTAATGGGCTGAGGTTCTGTGAGGCCCAAAACAATTCCAGTACAGATAATAAGCAAGTAAATTGGGAGGAGGTCACAGCGAGATGTTTGATTTGGTGTGTGTTAGGGGATGGTGTTTCCATGATGGAAAATCTAGAATATTATTGAGAGAGTCACTGTAGGGAGTGAGAAAATGGTGGCTGAGATGGAATGGGAAGGTCATTGGGTGAAGGAGTTGAAGGTGTTAACTGGATTTTCTGCACTAGTTTTCAAACAAGGTGGAGGTGAAGTCTTATGTATCAGGCATCGGATCTTGAATTCTGAGTCTTAATAGAGAGTGGCGCTCTCGCAGAGGAAGAAAGAGAAAGCAGTACAGCCCACTGGATGAGCCTCAGGAGAGAGCGGTCTCCTGAAAGAGATGGAGAGGGAGGAGTCTACAGGTGGTATTGGATTGCATCATGTTTAAGCCAGGCATGACAGTACCTGTCTATAGTCTTAGCTACATGAAAAACTGAGGGAGAATCACTTGAGAGCAGGGGATCAAAGCCAGTCTGTGGAGGGGTAACCCACTTGAAAACCAGGCAATTTGCATTTGCATCTGATTTTTAATGGAGTTGGATGCTGAAATCCCTTGCAAGTATTTTGCTTAAAACTACCAGTAGAGTCAAATGTAGTGACAGGTACCTAGAATTCCAGCACTTGGGAGCCAAGGCAGGATTGCAGGTTTGAAACTGGCCAGGGCTACACAGTGAGACATTACTTCTGGGCTTCCTCCCTTGATACTCTCTTTCTGTTGTCCTGGAATGGGGCCCACCTGTCAGTGTGCTCTAAAAAGCGCCTCTCCCGCTGGGGAGATGGCTCAGTTGGCAAACTGCTTTCTGTGCAAGCATGAAGACATGAGTTGGATCCCCAGAACCCATAATTTAAAAAATTTAAACAAACAGGTAGATGGCGGGCACGTATATAATCCCTCCCTGTGGAGACAGAGACAGTTAGATCCCTGAGGCCCCCTGGTCAACAGCCGATACTACCCTACAAGTCCCAAGTCAATGAAAGACTCTGTATTTTTCAAAAGATAAAGTGAATGGCTCCTGAGGCCTAATAACAGTTTAACCTCTGTCTTCCACCTGTATGTGCACACACGTGTAGGTACACACACGTGCACACAAATAAATAAACCTCTGAAATGTAATGCAACCATGATTGAGAACTACCAAGAGATACAAAGACTGTTCCGAGGAGGTGAATGCAGGAATGTTTGCTGGCCACAGAAGGCTGAGAGTTGGGGCAGGGTGGAAGAAAGGAGAAGAGAAGGTTGGGTCATGAAACAATTTGTTATATTTCCTAAGCATTTTGGTAAGAGAGAATTCGGTGATAAGGACACGGTGGAAGAAAGGAGAAGAGAAGGTTGGGTCATGAAATAATTTGTTATATTTCCTAAGCATTTTGGTAAAAGAGCATTTGGTGATAATTTTCAAACAGTTTCTGGAATCTTCTGGCCATTAAATAAATCTATTTTACATTTGCTAAATTCTATTTTTCAAGAATTGTAGGAAAGGGATTAAATGTTCTTGTACTAAATTTATATCAGATAGAGATTGCTCTGTTTTACCTATTCTGACATGAGAAATGGAGGACTCGGGTCCTGAAGCTTTTCCCAGTAGCTTTAAGGCTGTTCCTAAATGGCACTTGGCTACCTGCCTTTGTTCTCCTCTGCACAGTGGATTGCCCCAGTAAGTATCTTATCTGTGGCCCTCTTAGTTGTCTTTCATTCCTCCCTTTTCATCCTTTTTATTCTTCTGACCAGTAATTTTGTTTTAAAAATTCACTGAGTCCTATGAAGATGGAAACAAAAGAGATTTTAAAAGAAGACAAAAACAGAACCAAAGGTGAGAACTAGATTACCAACATAAGAAACTAGGATATAAATTCCATTTCTCCTTTCTTTATTATTTATAAGTGTAGAAAAGTCCTCTTCCACAGCTGTTTGTTAAATGCCTTCTAGCTCTGAAATCTGCCATCATTGTCACCAGGAGAGTGACCAGCTAACTCGGGACTTTGTCCATCCTAATAATCTGAAAAGTCTTGAAGCTCGTATGGGAAGCCGTTAAGTTTCAGACGACTCTGAAACTGTTGGGGAGCATTGGATGATGTGGATATGTGTCCTGCCTCCTGACTAAGGAATGTGTAGCTTTAGGAACACAGGGAAGCAGGATGTATAATCCATTAGAATAAGAATATAAACAAATACATAGGCTCCCTGGATCATAAAATCTGAAAAGTTGAGACAGACGGTAATTTTAGGGCACCAGAAAACAGGTGAGAGTATGCTGTACCCTTAAAAAGTCTAAGCCTGAGTCTGGAGAGATAGCTCAGCTGCCCATCCTGAGGACCTGGGTTCAATTCTCAGAATCCTCATGGTAACTCACAACTGTCTGTAACTCCAGTTCTAGAGGGACACACTGCCTCTTGTGACCTGCAAGGAGCAGATATATAACACAGACATACATGTAAGCAGAAATACTCATACATATAAAATAAAAAAATAGTTTTTAATAATTAAAGAACTCTGAGCCCTTTGTAAATTTACTTTTCTTTTCTTTTTTTTTCTTTTTTTGGTTTTTTGAGACAGGGTTTCTCTGTAGCTTTGGATCCTGTCCTGGAACTAGCTCTTGTAAACCAGGCTGGCCTTGAACTCACAGAGTTCGCCTGCCTCTGCCTTCCAAGTGTTAGGATTAAAGGCATGTGCCACCACAGCTGGCTGTAAATTTACTTTTAAGTATTACTATTTGTAATGTTTAGATATGTTTTGCATGCATGTATGTATTGTACCATGTGCATATTTGGTGCCTGCAGAGACTAGAAAAGGGCATTGGATCCCCTAGAACTGAAGTTACAGAAGGTTGTGGTTTAACATGTGGGTGTTGGGAATTGAACCCAAGTCATCAGCAAGAGCGTCAAGTGCCCTCAACTGCTGAGCCGTCTGTCCAGCCTCAGTAAATTTGCTTCAAATTCTACTCTTTCTCAATTGGTTCTTCTTAACCAACCCACTCTTAGAATAGATCTTTATGTTGCATTTGCAAGATTATTCAAAATCCTCATTTTTATTTGAGGTATTTTGCACTTGTGTTAGAGGTATAGGTACATCTTTCCAGAACACTTTAAATCAGTCCTGCTATTTTTAAGTTAGCTTGTAAATTTAATTTACTCTGAACCTAATCATGTTACTTCCTATATTACCTTCATGCTTTAGAATACTATGTGAGCTGAACTTGAAGTGATGGGGATTTCCAATGTGGAGAGAGGAAGAGGATGATTGATGAATTTATCTTTTGCTAGAACTTAGAAATCTCTGCACTGACATCTGAGAGATCAGGACATAGGAAGCTATGAGTTAGCTTATTATAATAGTTAGTGCCTATTGCTAGATCAGTCTGCTTATTGACACAGTCCATCAGCACTGTGAGTACTTCCCATAGCGTTTTCTCTCTGTTTCAGCCCCTCAACCACTGCAATACCGAGCCCTTGCTCTTGGATGTGCGCTCCTTACTCTGAGGGTCTAGTATATTTCTAATCTGGACCTCCTACTGACCAAAAAATTTCAGAATACTGTCTCAGTAAAGCAGTGTGTCCCATATCTAGGTATCTGTGGATTTAATTCTTTTTAAAGGTGGTTGCAAAATTCGGGTGCAAGGAGACTGGACCAGAGAGCGCCACTTTGAAATTCCTGATGAAGAGCTCTGCTTAAAGTTCCTCTCAGAAGTCTTTGCGGCACAGGAAGGTAAGTCAAGACTCAGCAAGTTTCTTCCCACTATTTCAATGGGAGTGAAATACTGACGTGCTGATTCAGAGTAACGTAGCCGTCAACAAAGCCCCCTGCCCCTTAAGCCCTGATATCTGATTTTTTTTTTCCTTCAGGAATGAACTCAGGATAGATTAAGGAACAAGTCTACCCAGCTCTAAAAAGAAAGTCAGTGGCAAGGCATGCAGTTCCCTGCAGCCTGTAATCCCCCTCCTTTTGCCCCCAGATGACTCAGAGCTGTCGGTATTTCCTTAGTCTCTTCCATTCCATTCCAGAATTGTGCTGACCATGTACTCGGGGAGTTTGAATAAATGAATAGCTTTGCGTTTGTAGTTTAGTGATGGTCTTTCCAGTTTCTGACCTAAATCTTGTCTTTCCAGCTCAGTCACAGCTTCTTGTTCCAGAACAGAAAGAATCATCTAGCTGGTATCAGAAATTAGACACTAAGGATAAACCTACTTATTCAGGTATTGGAAAGACTCTTTTATCTCTGGTTGCTATGATCATTTTAGAGTCGATAGATTGTATTAGTTCAGATTAATTGGTTGTGTAGAGTGATTTTATTGACCCCATGACCATGGACCAATGTTTCACTCTATGGTATAGTAGCTCTTTACAGGCCAACTGGGAGGCCAACTGGGAAAAAAAAGTTAAAAAGTACAAACTCCACAGCCAAACCAAACAGCCTAGGTTTGAATATCAAGTCAGTAAAATACTGACATGAAGCTTACTAATTATGCCATCATGTTTGAGTGACTCAAAAAATCATGAACTTCTGTTTCCTTCTCTACAATGTGGGAAGATTTTTCATTAAAAGTACTTTATGAGGTTATTATAATGTAAGAAAGACAAATGATATATAATCCCTTCTGTAAATGTCAGCTTATATTATTCAAAATCCAGATCAGTATAAATTTTCTATCATTACAGTTAGCATGTCAGTGCTTCTTGGATGAATATGAGTCTTACCATAATATAAGTGATTACTACCGCTGTGGGGCCCTTCTGTTTAGCAACATTGCTGATGTTGCAAATAAAAGCCTTGTCTATCCTGGCTATGTTGGAGGATCTCTGTTTCTTCACTTTCACTTTGGATCTTGTATTCTTCAGGGCTGCTTGGATTTGAGGATAATTTTTCATCTATGAATTTAGATAAAAAAATGGACACACCAAACTACCCCACAGCGATTCATCGGGAACCACCCCCTCCACCTCCTTCAGTAAATAGAATGTAAGTCCTGTGTCGCAACATACTTCCCCCTATAATAGGCTTATATGTTAGCCTGTTTACTTTTGAATCCCTGCTTGATGTGCTAGGCTTCCACGTGAAAAGGAAGCTTCAAACAAAGAACAGCCCAAAGTGACCAACACCATGCGGAAGCTATTTGTACCAAATACCCAATCTGGGCAGCGAGAAGGTCTCATCAAACATATCCTTGCAAAGCGAGAAAAAGAATATGTCAACCTCCAGTCTTTCAGGTTTGTCTGTCTTCTACTCGCTGAGTCTAAAACTTAAGGTATAACAGTCTTTTTATTTGTAAAAATATCAGCTTCATTAAGAATCAAAGCATGCTATAAGGCAATGTTCATCTGACTCCGACTTCTGTCTCTGCTGGCCAGAAGCATATATATCTAAGATCATGCAGAAGCTATCCTTTCAATTTCCTAACTGCTAATAATACCATGTCTACTAATATTTCTACCCACGCTTAGAGAAACAAATCAAACTCACATATAATAGAAGATTGTCCTCTCACGCCTTCTATAAACAAGTATGTGTCTCATCTGGCCCACTGAATCTTTGTCCAGCCAGTACTGGAAAACTAAAGTCCACCGTTACTACCATGTATTAATTTACTGCTTTGATAAATTAACTAAAGTTTCACCCAGTCATCTTGATTGGAAGATCTATCCTGAATCCTTTCCTATTAGTTTTCATTTCACCTTGACTCATTAACATCTCATTTTCTGGACCCTGGTATATGTGGTATAAAGGAGAGGTGATGGGGTGCGGCATGTATCCCCAGTATGTTATTCATGGGCAGAATATTCCTTTCTAATCCAAGACTCCAGTCCCATCTTCTAGCCTAACATGCATCATTTCCTCGAATCCAGTCACAACTGCAGTTCCTCACATTCTATACAGCACTTATATGTGAACAATTAGCACAGTCATGAGTCATCCCTTCTGCCTTCCTGCTTAGTGTACTATCTGCCTCATCAAAATTTCACAAAGAGTTGTCCTCATGATCCTCATGAAGGTTTTTTTTCAGTTTAGCTATAGCTTCTTACAAAATAGTTGTCCTTATTAGGCTGTGTCCAGCGCAAAAATAGCTCTTTCCAGTCTAACCTAAAGCTCTCCCTTAATGAATGTGGATAAAGTTTGAGTGGAAATTTGTCAAGAGAGTTAAGTGTCTGTTTAAAATACAGACCTAGCTCCTTTTTGGTGACTCACTTGATGTAAAATGTAGAGAAAATAAACCCATGGCTCTGTATTCTATGAGCAGAATTTTTCTTATGTAACTGGCAAAACACTTTGAAGAGTTATGTTGATCAATATACCCTTTCATAGAAATGTTAAAAGTAGTATTATGTTTGTTAATGCTTTATCTTTGTTTTCAAATTAATTTTTGTTGTACTGTATTAGATTTTTTGTTGGAACTTGGAATGTGAATGGCCAGTCTCCAGATAGCAGCTTAGAACCTTGGCTGAACTGTGACCCAAATCCTCCTGATATTTACTGCATTGGGTAAAGACCACTTCTGGACCTTCCTTTTCCTCTATTTGGTATTGATGTAACATGGCTTTGGCCTCTCTCTCACCTTTGTTTGTGTATGTGTTTGTGTATGTAATGTGTTAGCATGTACATGTGAGCACCAGGTCATTGAGTATCTTCCACGATCACTCTCCATCTTACCTTCTTTGCATTTTTTATTCTTTAACCATTTCATTCTTGTATATAATAAATTTTTGTTGTTCCCACCCCTATTACCTTCTCTCTCTCCTGCTGAAACCTTTCTTCCCAACAAGTCTCCCTCCTACATCCACATCTTCTGTATATACGTGACCCATTGTGTTTAGTTGGAGTTTCTCGTGTGAGCATGGATGGGAGGTTATTTACTGGAGCATGAACAACTAACAGTGGTTGTACCCCAGAAGAAAGTGACAGCCTTTCCACCAGCAACCATTAACTGCCCATTGTCCCTCAGGGAGGGGTAGAGCCTCACGGGCCCCTCCCCTATCCATGACGAAATGGTGATGGGTCCAATTTGTAAAGGTCTTATGCAGATAACCACAACTGGAATGAGTTCAAGAGGAGCAATGATTACGTCATCGAGAAGACGTCCTTTTGCTGTACATGCCACCGTCTTCTGGCTCTTACATTCTTTCCATACCCTCTCTCACATGTTACCCAAGCCTTGCAATGTGTGATATAGCTGCCCCAGGGTGACAGGGCACTCCACCATCACTGATTCCCAGCACTTTGGCCAGTTACGAGTTCCTACATTAACTGCCACCCACTTCTATGGTAAAGCCTACCTTATATCTACCTTATTTTTTGAGGGACTCCCACTGAACCAGGAGCTTGCCTCGAGATCCTGCTGTCTCTTTCTCCCCAGTGCTGGGATTGCAGGTATATGCTACACCCTCAGCTTTGTTTTCCATGGATGCTGAGGACTGACCTCATGTCCTCACACTTGGACAGCAAGCCCTTTATCAGTGGAGCCGTTTCCCCAGCCTTCATCTTCCTATTTTTTCCTAAAACCCGTTTGGTTAAAAACTTGATGTGAACTATATGTGAGGGTTAATTTGTGGGTCAAAAGAAAGCATGAATGAAACCCATAGGAAATTGCTCATCATAGAAACAGACGAAATCAATTCTCACAGTGATTATTCAAAGGTTGTAAAAGAAAAGTTTTACTACTATCCCTATGAGAGTTTTGATTGTTATTGTTTGGTTTTAGTATAACCTATGAATATAATGGTGGGAATTCTTTAGAAAAACTACATGTCTTTTATAAAATTCATCTTGCATTCTTTTTTTTTCCTTTACTCTAATGTCTCAGCAAATGGGAAAGGAGGTAGCCACTAAGTTATGGGCTGTGTATACCATAGCTATAGCCTCTGCCCTCATTTTTCCCTCAGATTTCAAGAGCTGGATTTGAGCACAGAAGCCTTTTTCTACTTTGAGTCTGTAAAAGAGCAAGAATGGTCCATGGCCGTGGAAAGGGGTCTGCCTTCAAAGGCCAAGTATAAAAAAGTAAGCTACTGGATTGGATTATCTCTTTCAGTATATAACTAAGTAGACCTCACTGGGAGTTATTCCATTATCTGAACTTCTTTCAAAAAGCTTGTTAAATAATTGAATTCTTCCTCAGATGAAATACTGTGCTATAGGAGACTAATCTACCATAGTTACTTCTGGGGTGGGGGAGGCATAAGTTTTCTGCTCATAATTTTTTATCACTTGGGTAGCCTTTAGAAGAAAACAATTTACTGTTTTTGCATTAATAATTAAGTCAAAATAATTACATATGAGTTAATTGATCTGTCTGTGTAATAAAAGTACAACATGTCTTCCAACATGGCCAAAATAAAATGCCTACCAGAAAAGCAGATTGAAACTTATGGGGTGCATAAAGTGTGCTTTAGATTCAGAACAAGAACAGCAGTATTGTGGTATTTAAACAAATTCTAGACTTCTTTGGAGGTGAAGAATAAAGTTGAGGAGCTGAAGAGATGGCTCAACAGTTAAGAGCACTGGCTGCTCTTCCAGAAGACCTGGGTTCAATTCCCAGCATTGACATGGCAGCAAACAACTTTCTCTAACTCCAAGATCTGACACCTTCACACAGACACACATGCAGGCAAAGCACGAATGCACATAAAATAAAAATCGTTTTTAAAAGGTGTATGCAACAACACTCAGCTATTTGTTAAGTAATAATAACAATAGAGTTGACTTTAGCAAGGTGGTCACATTTGTTGGTCTTTAGGAGATATTTGGTATAGGCACTTAGCTACTAGGAGAGATATTTTCATTTCAAGGCAACTATCCTGATCTCAGAAGGAGTAATCTAATGTTCTTCTTTGCTTTTGAACAGTTTATGTAGGTGGCATAAATCGTGAAGATATTACAGCTCTCTAGCTCATTTAGACTAAAAATAATCAAAATTCAAAGGATCACTGTTTGTAGATTTAAATATCTTAGACAACATGAAATCAGAGTCTAGGAAGGAGAAGGAAGAACAAGCTGGGATAAGGGTTTGTTCTTCACTATTTGAACTTTTAATGTACTATCAGTAGGGTACAAAGTGATTTACAAAGAGAGCTAAAACTGAGTATGTGAGTTGGTGGTAGAGTGCCTGCCTGCATAGCATGCTCAGGGTTCTTCATTCGATCCTCAAGCACTGACAAATAGAAACACACAGGGGCGGGGCGGGGCGGGGCGGGGCGGGGCGGGGCGGGGCGGGGTGGGGGGAGGGGAGAGAGAGAGAGAGAGAGAGAGACTTCTACATTATCTTCAGAGATTCTGACTTTTATTAGTCAAATTGAGACTAGAGAGCTTCCACAGAGAACCTTGATTTCCAATTTATGGGGTCCAGTAGGAAATTAGAGGATGCAGATACAGATGTGGACATCAGTAATCACTTTGTTAGTCATTCTATAAAGGTTGCTATGTAGCAGAAAATGATGCTCACATTAGCTGTTTGTAACTCCCTGAAACTCATAGGTGCAACTCGTCCGCCTTGTGGGGATGATGCTTCTTATATTTGCCAAAAAAGATCAGTGTCGGTATATCCGTGATATTGCTACAGAAACAGTGGGAACTGGAATCATGGGGAAAATGGTGAGTTACTTTGGCAATTAATTTGATTATTGTTGATGTCTATGTGACATTCGATTGCACTCCGTGTTTCCTAACTTTATAATTGCCTTTGCTACCAGGGAAACAAAGGAGGAGTCGCTGTGAGGTTTGTATTTCATAACACCACCTTCTGCATCGTCAATTCACACCTGGCTGCCCATGTGGAAGAGTTTGAAAGAAGGAATCAGGATTATAAGGACATCTGTGCAAGAATGAGTTTTACAGTCCCCAATCAGGCTCTCCCACAGCTGAACATCATGAAACATGAGTAAGTGGCCTCTCCGTGCTGTGGCCTTTGCATGGAGATGTAGCAGTGGTTAGATAGGGTGAGAAGCCATGGAGCTGTGAAGAGGAAGAGGTTACCATTTTGGGATTTGTTCCACAAAGAAGAGAATATGTTATTTAGAACTAGATTCGCTGAGGCAGAGAAATTAGGTTTGGCATTAGGGGGAAAAAGGTTTGTATTAGTGTAACTTCTAAAATAATGTTGAAGGAATCTACACATTAGTGTCATTTTTAAAAATGAAATAGAAATGTTCACTGTAAGTGTGATAATAAAAGATAAAATGAATAAACATAGTTTAAAATCCTTTACTTACCTCCTCTTCTCCCCAGCCAGTCCCTCTCTCCATAGGAGACTGTATTTAACATTTGAATATAGACCTTTCTGGATGTGCACTGTCTAATATGATAGCCAGCATCTGGCTGTTGGTATTTGAAAGTTATTCGTCAAACTGAGAGGTTTGTGAGCAAAAGCTATATTGGATTTTGAAGATTGCTTGGGGGAAATGTGGGATACCTTAATTTGCAAAATATTAATCACACCTTAATGATTTGGGTGTATTAAGTTAAATAAAAGTTGTTATTTTTACTTTTATATTTTAAGTGCAGCTACTAGAAAAAAATAAAAGGATATGGAGGCGTGCATCATTTCATCCAACAGTTTCTTCTAGACTCTTCTCCATGCATGTACAGACACACATACTTGTTGTATGAGAACATTGCCCTATTCATCTTTCCAGCGTTGTGTCTGCAGATCTACATTATTCTTTTTAACGGTTGTGATTATTAAAAATGGGTGGCAGTGATAGGTCTGCGAAGACCAGGATTTCGTAAGGACAGGAGCGGAAGTCCATTGAGGAATGGGCTAGGTGGTGTAGAAAAGAGTCAGCTGTGGAGAAATTCTTTGAAACTCTGAGACGGTGATTTGGAAGGAATAGCGCGAGGTGAGAACTGTAGTAAATCAAGAGATAACCTAGGATTGTGAGAAGCAGTGGATATTGGGGGAATTAAGGAAGGAACAGGGCAAGGTGGTAATATTGGAATATGTCCATACTATCTCAACAGTTGGGAGAATATAGAATTTGGTTTCACAATGACAAAGTCAAGGCCTTGAAATTTATGCTCATGAAGCCCCCAGCAATTCCATAAATTTAATCCCAGGAGTCCAAACTTTCCTGTTGCCTTTGAGAACTTGAGGTGATTCAAAAGGGACCCATGTTGATGTGGTAATTTCAGGGTCTTGGCTCATCTCAAGTCCTGGTGCTGCAGTTGAGAAGTAAGGTGCCAGTTTGCTTCTTTGGGGGAACTTGAACTTCAGATCTGAAACAGATTTAGTCAGGTTGGCTACACTGGAGGGCCGGGCTCAGTTTTCCTAGTGGGCTGTCAGTTTTTCCGACCATCCAAACCGTGACAGAGCACCTACAGAACCTCAGGGCTCTGGGAGGCAAAAAGCATTAAGATTCTCTTCGCCTAGAGACCTGGCAGGCAGCCAGACAAAATTTTGAAGCTAATCCAGCAAATAAACTGCGTGCTTCTCAGTCCATTAACTCCTTGGCTTCCAAATCCCATATGTATACTATATGGCCCCACTTTCATTCAGTTTTATGTGGCGTGCCTATTTTCCCTGCTATTTTATAGTCTATTGGCTTTCTCTGGGATTGGCAGTACTTGCCCCCAAAGAATTGTTTGCAGCTTTAAACCTCTTGTCAGTGATAAATAGATCCTTATAAGTAGTTTACCCATTCTCTTCTTTCTGTTCTCCTCTGATTGACTTTAATGTTAATTAGTGCTATTTTAATCTATTTCTTGGTCTTCAGTGTTGTCATTTGGTTGGGAGACTTGAACTACAGACTTTGCATGCCTGACGCCAATGAGGTGAAAAGTCTTATTAATAAAAATGACCTTCAGAAGCTCTTGAAATTCGACCAGGTAAGTAAAGTTTCAGTGGCAGAGATGGTGAGGATTATGAGATAGCCATGGTAGGCAGGGCTTATGCTAGGAAGAGATGGCAAGTTTTACTATCTTGCAAGGTATTGTACCTGGGGATATATAGATTTGGAGTGCCTTGATTAAGTACTAAGATTCAAGGGAGATAATGTTGGTGACAAAAAGCCAATGTAAAATTCATTTAGTAAGTCATTATCAGGCAGAGATGTTAGAGATTTGTCTAGATTGGCTACAGACTACGTGAGGTTAATTGGAGAATACTTCTAGAGGAGAATGGCCTTCTGCTGTGTTAATGTGGTTTAGCAGATGGAATGGCGAAAATTGTTCTGTGATTATTTGGCAGGCTGAGCAACAGCTTGGAGATAAAAGAGAGGGGCAGGCCCTATGAAAGAGACTGGGAAACTAATAAAAACAAGTTTGTTTGGGATGACCAACATAAGCTATAGTCAAATAGGAACTGATTGATAAGTTGGTGTTGACTGATATTTAGCTGTTGATGTTAAAACCAGTGGAAGGGGCTGAGAAGGTAGCTCAGTGGATAAAGTGTTTGTTGCACAAGAATCAGTACTTGAGTTAGGATCCTCAGCACCCATGTAAATGCCAGGCACAGTAGCATGCATCTGTAATCCCCGTTCTGGGGGAAACAGGTATATCCCAAGGGCTTACTGGTCAGCCAGCCTAATCCAAACAGTGAACTCCTGGTTCAATGAGAGAGCCTGGTCTCAAAATATAAGGTAGAGAAGTGACTGAAGAAAGCATCCTGATAGCACCCTCTGACTTCTGCACATCCCTACATGGATGCCTACCCACATATATACAAACAAGAGCAACCAAAGTACTTGTCGGGAAATTATTGATTATGGAGCACTCAGACAAAACCTGATAATCAGTAAACAAGTCTCTGTGAATATAAGCCTCTATGTTGGTGTGTAAACCTGGTAAATGAGTTGAATTTTTATTTTCATACATCCTTTTTTCTTTTTTGCGCTTGATCATCACGATAAAGCCTGTCCTAGCCTGGAACTAGTTGTATAGCCTAGGGCTGACCTTGAGCTTGTGTTTCTCCTACCTCTGCTTCCTAAGTGCTGATATTACAGGTATGGGCCAAAGCACCTTGATCATAAAAATAATTTTTTTGGAATATAGGTAGTGATCAATGAAAATGAATATTCCTTCATGTCATTTCTTATTTTATTAATACATATTAATTGTACAGAGTTACTGTGTTTCTTGTATCATGTATCAGCATGTGGAGTCAGAATACAGTAATCAAATCCAGCCTCTGGGATCTGGGGATGTAGCTTAGTGGTCGAACACTCGCATAATCTATGTTAGGCTGTGAGGACAATCTACAGCACCATAAAAATTACCTCTTTTTTTTTTTAATGATCTCTCCTCACATTCCACTTTCTGATTATCACTATTCTATCACTATTCTACATTCAGGCTGACTTCTTTCGGCTTTCACACCTAAGAGCTAAATTGTAACATTTGTCTTTCTGTGTCAGAGTTATTTCATTTAACAATAATTATGTCTGGCTCATCCATTTTGCTGCAAATGACAGTGTTTCATTGATTATGACTGAATAATATATGTGTGTCACATTTTCTTTATCTAGTCAGTATTCACAGGTACTTTTCTTGGTTCCTTATTTTTGGCTATATAACTAATGCCACAGTAAACATATGTGAACACTTATCTCTTTGGTATGCTGGTTTTACTTTTATTATGTACCCAGCACATCATGGTACAGGAGTGAAAGTAAATGCTTCTTAATGAGAAAAGACAAAGTTTTAAATTGATTCAAATGTCTTTAAATCCCTATGAGAGCCTTTTGACCTTTAGACACAGTAAAAATTCAAGTGTTTTGCAGTACAATAGTTTTTATGTGAGTCTTCCTTAGCTATCTGCCTTTACACTGAAGTCAAATGGCTAATTTGTATTCCTTCCTCTTTCTTGCTTCTAGAAAGGGTACAGTTGGGATAATTGCTGAATCTTGTGTAACTTTGGTAAAATATCTGAGTGAGGATAATTTTTTAGAAGGATGGGTTATAGGGCTGGAGAAATGAGTACTTGCCTTGCCAGCATGATGGCCTGAATTTGGATTCCAACATCCATAAAAAAGCCAAGTATGGTCACATGGACCTGTAACCCCAGCACTAACAGGGAGAGGTGGAGACAGGAGGGTCACTGTATGTGTGTGTGTGTGTGTGTGTGTGTGTGTGTGTGTGTGTGTGAGAGAGAGAGAGAGAGAGAGAGAGAGAGAGTATGGTTTGGAGCATGTGCGTGCAGTGCCTATGGAGGTCAGAATATGTCTGTGGATCCCTTAGAGCTGAAGTTACAGGTAGTTGTGAGCCATCCAACAAATTTGGGTCCCCTGGAAGAGCAGTGTGCTCTCTTAACCACTGGGCCCTCTCTATTGCCCCAACTCACCCACTTTTAAAAAAAAAGAAAAAGAAAAAAAACGTTAACTAGTCATTGAAATTGGTTTCAAGAATTATCCTTTTAAGGTTTGCATGGTTTTGTTGGTGGTGGTGGTATTGTAATTATAATTATGCTAGCTTGTGCCTGTCCAGTTCTAAGCAATGTAGGACTATTCAGAGTTCATGTTTCCACAATTTTGTCCTGACCACAGTTGGCAATAAAATGGCAATGTGCTAATAACAAGTGTTGTCATTGAATCCGAAAGATAAGCAGTCTTATCTGTGTATTTTTCCACACTTGAAAAGGCTCTGGAACTGGATCCCTACAAAGGGAACAGTGACCAACCAGCCTGATTATCACCTCTGTTAGTGTGGTGTTATTGTGCTTACGTGGTGTTTCTTTCTGTCTGCAGTTAAACATTCAGCGCACGCAGAAAAAAGCCTTTGTGGATTTCAATGAAGGGGAAATCAAGTTTATTCCCACTTACAAGTACGATTCTAAAACTGACAGATGGGATTCCAGGTAAAGTGATAAGAACCTTCTCACAGAAAAGGTTAAGGCTTGATCTTTACTGAGCCTTTCCCTGTCCCTCCTGACAAGCTAGGATTTTTTTTTTGTATCATTCCGTATGCAGAGAGGGAAGTCTAATGGCTTAGTGTTATTACAGAAGAGTATTTCAAACTGAGCTTATATTAGGAAAGTATTAATTAGATATCAGGGCTGGTGACATTTTATGAGCTGCCTCTGGTACCTTGTTTCTGTCACCCCTGAAAACTAGTTTAGATTTTTTTGTGTTCCTAGTCTTACCTTTCTTTCTCACCTAAGACTCTTAGCCTCCTTCCCTAATGCTTACCTCTTAGCCAAACTTCTTCTCTGCTACTTACTCTGAATACCAGAAGGTGAGAACCAAGAGTCATAAGCAGTTCTTCTAGCAGAGTCATTCTTGGTCCTGAGAACACATTAGAATCCACTGGTAAGGGCCTGGAGAGATTGTTCAGTGGCTAGAATACTTGGTGCTCTTGCAGAGGACCTAAGTTCAGTAATTCCAGCTCCAAGGGATCTGACACCCTTCTCTGACCTTTGAGGACATCTGCATGCATATACATATATGTGTGTGTGTGTGTATGTGTGTGTGTGTACATATACATACACACACACACACACACACACACTAATGAAAAACTGAAAATAGGTCTTAAAAAGTAATCCATTGGTGACCTCTTAGACATCCTGAAGTCTGGACCCATACTTCTTAGAAGAGAAAGCTCTAGTCTTCTCCAGAGATTAAACCTGGCCTAGGAATAAAGAGTGGCGGTTTTCAACTCGATTAATTGTCTATCATGGAGTACCATTGCAGTCAGGTGGAGCAAAGAAAGAGAAAGTATTCAGGATGGAATCCTGACCTGAGAAGGCTATTTTAAGGAGGTGCTGTTCCATCTTTCCCTGTGGTGACATTTACGATGCAGACCTAAATTTAGGAAAACCATTTCTCCATTAGTTGATACTAGACACGTTGTACTAGGAGTTTAGTGGCTGACAAGCAGATACAGGCCCTTATCAGTGCTTGCAATGTAGAGAAGATGATAGGGACCACCCGGGAAGGAGAAGTATGTGGTTCATTGGAAGCATATTAGAAGAGGCCTAATGTGATTCTAAACCAGTGTGTGTTACTGCATCCTAGTGTGGTATACTCTGTTTGTGACTCATTCTTTTATTTACAGTGGGAAATGCCGAGTTCCAGCCTGGTGTGACCGAATTCTTTGGAGAGGAATAAATATTAATCAACTTCATTACCGGAGTCACATGGAACTCAAAACTAGTGACCACAAGCCTGTTAGCGCTCTGTTCCATATTGGGGTAAATAGTTGATTGCTCATTCATTCGTTTACCTGTTAAGTAGCTACTTCCAGAGCATTATGGAGATAGAGTAAGTTCGTAATCCAGCATGCCGTAAATGTTCTCTAAGCAAACAATCATTCGCAGGGTTGAGTGGTTAGCACCCCCTCAACCCTCCCAAATGCTATCCTTCTACTTCTTCATGATCCTGTCTTTTTACTGATATACAGATATTTTATTCCATGTAGGCACAGAGTGATCAGAATAGAACCAGATCTACTCACTAAAGAGAGTCCTGTTCACTACTGTGGCACATTCCTCTCAAATATCATAGGTATTATGTTGTTTTGCATTTGGTTGCATCTTATGCTGAACTTATAACCTGTTTCTCCTCTAATGTGAATGCATTTTCCCATTTTTAACTGTGTTATGACTGTGGAAATTATCTTATAAGCTTGATGGTTGATATTTTGATTACTTCTTGTGTATTTTCCACATATGTGGTCATGTAACCTGTCAGGATATAACTCATGTGATTCTCACTAGGATGAATTAGGTAGTCTTCTGCTTGGTTTTACATTCTAGGTCAGCCACTTTGTAATTGTGAAGAATATGGACAATTTATTTAGCATCCTTGTGTGTCAATCTACTCTACAAAGTATGCTGGTAATGGGACCTACTCATGAGGATTAATGAGTTCAACCATGTGAAGGGCATAGTGAGACAGGTTACTTTTGTTTATGTCAGTTTCAGGGACTGCTGCCATCGGTGTCTTATGGTGACTTTTATCCTGAGTCCTCTTTTTAAAAAGGATTTATTTGTTTCTATTTTAAATACATTAGCATTTTTACCTGCATGCATGTCTATGTGAGGAAGTCGGATCTTCTGGAACAGGAGTTACAGACAGTTGTGAGCTGCCATGTGGGTGCTGGGAATTGAACCTGGGTCCTCTGGAAGAGCAGCCAGTGTTTGTGACCACTGAGTCATCTCCCCACCCTCACCTCCACCCTCAAGTCCTCTTTTAAAGAAGAATGACTTTAGGGCATTTCCCTGAGATACAAAATTAGTTCTTTATTTTTTTCCACTTTTGGACTGCAGTTGTTTTTGTTTCTTATTATATTTTGGCTGGGGAGGCACCTGCTGTGTGGTGTGTAAAGGTAAGATGACAATTTGGTAGGAGTCGTTTCTCGCCTTTCAGTATCCACAGTTGTTTTTAATTTGATGCTAGGAATCAGACACAGGCTTTTGTGTCTTCTAAACACCTGCCAGATCACTGAGCTGTGCTTACCCCCACCCCTTCCCTTCCACTCTAACATACAGCAGCTAGTATCTTTGAGCCTGAAGTGGCTTTAGGGAATTTCTGCACGTCAGTTACTTCCCACAACAGTGCTCACTTAAATGCTTTCCACTTCACAGATGAGCAGATAAAAACTCAGGGAGTTCCAACATGACTTCCTTGAGAGTGTTCAAGTAAAAAGAGAGCTCTGATTCAAATCTTAAGTCTGTTTAACTCCTACATGTGTGGTCTTTCGACTACCCCACTGTACCTTGATGGTTCTAATGTACTAATTAAACGTGCCTTCAGAAGCTACTTTTAACCCATTGGATTTCAGTTTGTACTTCTAGGACATCCTCTTTTCCTCGTCCCCTAATCAGTTTAAAGAAGGTATCACTTCTTAAACACTGACCTCTTTGGTTTAATCAGTCATGTTGGATTTTTGCTGTACTTGCCCTCAGAACCTTGGAACGTTCTTCATACTACACATCAATCCTAAACTCCCACTTAAATAATCTTACATTTACAAGAGTTCTTTATATTTTTATACATCTTTAATAGTCTATGTTTCTGGTTTTAAATGATACAACAACTTGAATGAGCCCTTTGTGGGGCTGGCAAGGTGTCTCGGTGGGTAAAGGTACCTGTCAGCAAGCCTTATGGCCCGATTTTGATTCCTGGGAGCCACATGGTGGAAAGAGAGAATCAGCCAATATCCGAAAGTAGTCCTCTGACCTCCACATGTGTGGCGTACCACATGCACACACATGCGTTCACACACAAAGAAGAAAATTTAAATTGTATTTTTTTTAAAATAGAGACCTAAGCAGAATTTACACAGAAGGCTGAGACTCTAGTAACTGTCATCTCCCACTTGAGACTTTTCATAAATCCCTACTTCCTAGCCAGGCCAACACCATGTATGAGTGTTTGTCTTCCTACACGTGTATCATCATCGGTACTTTCTGTGACACTGAAAATGTCTTATATCCATGATAGACTTCTGCATATGTCTTTCTGCTTAAAAGTTTTGTGTATATGTGTGTGTATATTGTAAGTGGTCTTATACATGTGCTGATCTGAAATTTGTTTGTGATATATAGTTTATCTCTCTGGGTCATTATGTTAAGATCTAGCTCATTTTCCTTTTATACTGAATTCCTAATTTGTTGGGGATTTCCTTTTCTGAAATGAATGTATCCCATGGTAAGATTCTTCCCACCATCCTCTGTTATTCTAGATGCACCATTAAGTAGTGCTAATCCACAGAGAATAGGTTTGCTTTTGAGTAACTACTTCATACTTTAGAGTCTTGGGCTAACTACGAGTTAGAGACTTTTAAAACTATATTACACATTGTGACACCACCACTGGCCCCAGGGACTTTTAGCAAAGGAGCCAAGTATTCTGTTGTCAGTTAGTTTCTAAAGACTTGCTGTGGACTGTCTGAGACGAAGCTTTTCTGAGACAGTGTTCTACCCTGCACTGGGTTCTGTGATTTGCTGTGATGGCTCTCAGATTTTAGTGAAAATGCCCATTGTCCAGAGAACTTAAGAAGAAAAAAGGATGGAGACATGAACCCCTCACCTCAACAATGTGAGTAATAGTTTCAGGCCCCTGTGATTTTTAAACCTCAGCCAGGTGGAATCTGTTGCTTACCTCGTCTTTCTGAAAGAATCTGCATAGTATTCCAGGTCTTACCAGGGAGCCAGCTAGGTGAACTGCTCAAAACTTAGAATAGCCCTTGCCGCTGTGGTCTTGAAAGTTCAAGCAATACTTTTTAAGAAAGAAAAAGTTATGAATTTTTTTTAAGAATTTAAAATTTATCTTAACCTAACGCTTATATACTGTGGAGTTAAAGTGATGAATCCTCAGTTCTCTAAGTTATGGCAACAATGTATCTTTTTTTTAAAAATAAAAAAGCTCCCTAGTCCACTTAAGTTCAGCTGTTTCCCACATCTGCCTCAGAACCTTTGCTGTATACATGAATCTTTTTAAGATGGACTTTTGTAATTTTATACTTTATGTAAAAAGGAAACCGATGTCTCACATATAACAATGATGTTACATTATTTATGCTAAGTGAGAACATTAGTTTGTTTGAACTTTTAATATTTACAAAAATACAGCTATGTCAGGAAGCTGGAAATGCTGTGTCACCTAGAAACTTTTTTGACCCATTACTCCAAACGACTTGTCTGTTGTCATGGTTTTACTCCAGGACATTCTGTGGTGGCCTTTTTCTAAAATGGTCACTGGCTCCATTTCCTAACACCATAGCTTTCCTGTTAGTAATCTGAGCAATTACCTGATTCCTGTCAACGTGCATAGCAACTAATGGACTTAAATGCTTCGATCATTATTTTGTACAGTTTCACAATTTTTGCTTGTTAAAAATAGCGGTGGATGTATTTTAGCAGTGTTGTTTTACACACTGCAAGAAATCATTTTTACTACAAGTTCTCATTTTCTCCACTCTCAGATGATTAACAACGAAGCAAGAAAAAAATCCTTCCCAGCTATATACCATTATCAAACATCTTACAGATTGTACTTTAACAGTACATTTAGCCATTTGACTTTATCTTTCCCATAAGGTGTATTTTATAATGCTTATTAATTTATTTTGTGGCTTTTAGAATTAGAAACTCTTAGAGAAGTTGAAATTACATAAGAGTAAATAAAAATTTATTTCTTTTGAGGTGAAAGTTATGGATGAAGTAGGATATTAAAGCTTTGGAGTGTGTTGATTATACTACAGTTTATCTTAAAGGTGTCCCGTAATGCCCAGTTTGAAATTCTTAGATACTCTCTGATGGAGATGAGCTAGGAGAATGTAGAGCTGAAAATGGTTCCTTCTTTCCCGTTAGGTGAAGGTTGTGGATGAACGGAGGTATCGGAAGGTCTTTGAAGATATCGTACGCATTATGGACAGAATGGAAAATGACTTCCTTCCTTCATTAGAACTTAGCAGGAGAGAGGTGAGCAAAACTAGACAGCTTCCTGTCTACTATCCATTATTAGTTAACACAAAGGAAACTGTTTTACTTCAACGGGCATCAAGGATAACATCTCCACTGGTGTCAGACTGTCTCTGTTCTGGTGTCAGCTTTGCAGTTTGGTAGCTAGAGGAGTACAGGAAGCCTCAGAGATGCAGCTCCCTTTGCTGGATCACATGAGTTAATACCTGCGAAGCTCTTAAAACAGCACCCAGCAGCTTGGAAGCCCTCATATTAGTTACTCTTGTTTGGCATTCAGTTCATATGTTTGAGGGAGCAGAACCTAGTCACAGAATAAGCACCCTGGACCACAGTTGTGTTCTTCTCAGGATCCCTGAACAATCAGAGTAGCCTTGAACAGGGTCAAAAGTTACCTAGCTCCTTCTTTGCTGGTGTTAACTAAATAATGTAGGAAAGCCAATGCTAGGAAGTTGTCTCGGTCTGTGAATATATGTGGTAGGTACGCATCTGATTAATAATTACCTTATTCTTGATTCATATTGTCTATGAATAATCCAACTTACTTCCCCTACTAGTGATGCATGCTTGTGTCTGTCTGTTCCCCAGTTTGTGTTTGAGAATGTGAAGTTTCGGCAGCTGCAAAAGGAGAAGTTCCAGATCAGCAACAATGGACAGGTTCCCTGCCATTTTTCTTTCATCCCTAAACTTAATGACAGCCAATACTGCAAGCCATGGCTTCGAGCTGAACCTTTTGAGGGCTACTTGGAGCCAAGTGAGTTTTCCCTTTACCACTGCCTCTGCTTGCCACCACCTTGGCTTAACTTCTAGTTCTCTAAGCGCTTGTCTCTCGCTTCGCTGTCTTTATATTCGTGTGTCCCATCCTTTTCCCACTGTTGTTTTGTTCTTGCTGTTATGGACAGTTGATTTTTCCACCAGAAAGCTCTGGACTACAACGCACCATCTCTTTCATTGCAGATGAGACAGTAGACATTTCTCTTGATGTCTACGTCAGCAAAGACTCTGTAACCATCCTGAACTCTGGTGAAGATCAGATTGAGGACATTCTCGTCCTTCATTTGGATCGAGGCAAAGATTACTTCTTGACCATCGGCGGGAATTACCTTCCGAGTTGCTTTGGTACATCCTTAGAGGCTTTGTGTCGAATGAAAAGGCCAATCCGAGAAGTTCCTGTTACCAAACTCATAGACTTGGTAAGAAGCTTTCTAAAAATCATCTTCACATTTAATTCGCACGTTTTTGTCGCCATTATTTCTGTGCCTTCTCTCTTCTTCTGGGATCAGGGGAACTGACAAATGATACAGAAGAATGTCACTTTATCTTAGCACTACTTAAATTAAATTAAGCTTAAGAGGGAAAAGAAGAGGCCAATCTGTCGTTAACTCTTGTTGTGACTAAAGTAGGTAGTATACTTCCAAAATAAGGTTAAAGTCTCTCTCAGAGCTATAATGCTTGTTAGGTTTATCACACTCTTTCACATAAATTGGCATGTATGTGAGGTGTGGCAAGGGCACCATGCGGTATTATCCTCATTGTGCTGGCAAGAAAACTGAGGCCCAGAGGCATTCAGTTGCCCATAGTCAACTAAGTTAGTGACAGATCTCCTGTCCAGATTGTCTGACTTCCTCCCCAGTATCCCTCCCTACATTATGTCAAATCAAACTTTGCTGCTGATGAGAACACAGGCTGTTAGGAAAGCTTACAGAACCTGCATCATTGTCCTTAGGGGTGCTTACTCTAAGTAGAGGTCCCTATCCCCATTCACCAGTGGTAACAGAATCTTTAGATATGGAGCCTGGGTCACATTTTACTAACATTCCAGACACTTTTTTTTCTTTGGTAGTCCAGGCTGGGGTTGAATTTCCTGTTCAAATGAGAATGACTTTAAACTTCTGATCTCCCTGTCTCCTCCTCCCCAGTGTGGGATCACAAGTATATGCCACAATCCTGGTTTATGCAGTGTTGAGGATCAAAGCCAGGGCTTCATGCATGCTAGGCAGGCACTCTGCCAACTGAGATGCAAACTCAGTCCATAGATGTGTATAATGCACACTGAGGCTTGTTCACTTAATGTGACTCAAGAAAGGAAGAGAATTATTTCCTCCCCTTTCCCAAACCAAGTTATTATATAATATCTATAGTCTTAAGAAGAGAAAGTATATTATTTTCAGTAAAAAACATGACTTAATAGCAAATTCATCCTATTAAAAACTTTTCAGATAAATGAAACTATTGTTGGATTGTGTACAAGTTTGCACTACAAGTTTATTCTTAGCTTTTTTACCAAATATAATGAAGAGCCAAATGTCATCATGTGTACAAAATCACGTTGGTGCTTAGGCCTGGGCAGAGCTAGTGACTGTAGCATCCCGCAGGAAGGGTTAGAGGAGGAGGGTAGCCTGCTGGCTTGTATCTGTGCCGTTGCCATGGAATTGTTGCACCTGTGACTCAGAGCAAATTACAGCACTGAAAATCTATTTGTTTCCATAGAGCTCTCATGATGGAAGGCTTTACCTGTGTTTGAAAGAAACCATTTTCTACAGAAACTCATATCCTGCCAGTCTGGTATTTCTCGTAATTGTTTTTCTCCTACTGCCATATTCTCATTTTGTATCGAAAAAACTATACAATATAGTTTGATCACAGGTCCCCTCCCCCAGCTCCTCCCAGAGCCTTCCCACCCCACCCAACCCAACCAACTCCACACTCTTTCTTCTCTCTGACTTTAGAAAGCAGACAAAGAGGCAAACAAAAGACAAACTAGAATTCTTTTAAAAGGGAAAAAAGTCATAAGAAATGCATGCGCGTGTACATACAAACAAAAACTATAAAAGCAAAAGATAGGAAGCCTTGCAAAATACAAGTGGGACAAAAAAAATGCCCAAACAAAGCAAGAAGAGACAAAAAGTTTACCAGAATGGATGGGTTCATTTTGTGTTGGCCATCTCCTGTTCGGCATGAGGCCTGCCACCATAGTCTTAGTTTTCAAATTTTGCATTTCACCTGTTAGAATAGATTCTGCATGATTTTTTTCTACTTCATCCCAAACCCTATTTCCTAGCTTTCTTTGTTCCTGCTTTTCATTTTATCGTTATTTTTAATTTTTTGAAAAATGAGTTTTGTTTTGTGTATATAGGTGTTTTGCCTGTGTGTGTGTGTGTGTATGTGTGTGTGTGTGTGTGTGTCTGTCTGTCTGTCTGTGAACCATATGCATTCCATGCCTACCCACAGAGGTCGGGAAAGGGTGTCGAATACCGTCTAGCATCTAGTTTATATTCATATTTTTCCAATTGTTCTAGCAATTTTTTATAGCTTTCTAAAAACCAAAATGCAATCTCAGTTCATGCAGTATAACATGTGTGTATGTATATGTATGTGTGTATCTACATATATTCACATTTATGCTAGTATTTCTGTAGTACCTTTCATGTAGTATATAGCATGTGTGTATGTATACTCTTCATAGTAGAACAAGTCTCTGTTTTTTCTTTACTGTCATTTGCCTTTTAAGAGTCTAGTTTAGTTGTCCAGGCAGTGGTCTCTTAGTTCCTAAATTTGGCCATTTCTTCTTTGGTATTTTTAACTTATCCTTGTATACCCTCTCTTTACTCTTGTTTTCCTATCAATTAGATCATGGCTTATTTTTTTAATCAAAGTCAGTGGCAGCATTATAGTACCTGACCATAATTTTTTCATATTCTGGGAGTAACTAGGAGGTTCAACAAGCTTTGAAAAGTCTTACTGTATAGAAAGTATATTATCAGGCAATTTGACCACATCCATAAGTAAAGTATACAAAATCATTAGATTAATCAGCGTCTCTGTAAGGGGCCCTCTTTGCTCTTTTAGGACATTATTGACTCAGGGTTAAAGAAATAGAACCTTGGTCATTTGTAATTACATAATGACTTTTTATTAAATTATACATTCATGATCATCATTTGTTCTTTGTGAAAGTTCTTATTTTGTAGGCTTTAGGGCTCTCATTCTTTCCACAGGTTATTGCATTTCAGTTTTATTAAATTACTGTATCTCATCAATAAAGAAGTTATTCATCTTGTGAGGCAGTAAACAGGAGTCTAAAATAACCACTTCCCTCTCTGCACACCTTTCCGCCTATCTTGACTCTGAAACACTTCTTTAGGTCTCATGTTCACTCATGCTTTGCTAGGACCCGACGGGATATTTCAGACCCCGTGAAACGGTAGCCTTAATACTGATACATGCCCTGTATTGGATTGTGTGCTATAAATCCACAAGGAAGCCAAAAATGAGTTCAGCTCATATGATTTGTTTCCATGTACTGTTTCAGGGAGATACTTATGTTACATTTGCTTCCTGCTAAAGGCAAAATGAGATAATTAGCATGAATCTTTTTGTTCTTCCAACCATGTTCAATAATAGAGATTCTACAACTCCTAGGATAGTTGGGATTAAGTAAAGTGGGAGCAGATGAGAATTATTTGCTGTTGTAATGATTTTTATTCTTTTTCAAAACAAAGATCCATTTTTCTGATTTATTAACTAATATGTTAACCTGCAGATAATCATCAATATTTACTACATGCTGGATATAAAGTAGTATGGAGATTATGTGAGTTTCTGTAATTTAGTGGTCATGAAAGTATACTTGCATGCAAAAGATAGCTAATTCCTAAGTCATGGTTAATAGAAAGTTTTGTTCAAGATAATTTGAACGTTAGTGGTCCATACCGGCTACTGTTCACTCTGTTTGGGTAAGTCAACATTTTGGGAAATGATGTAAAGTGAATGTTATGGAGGTTGTAATTTGTATTCACTGTAGATTCCTTTTCTACACAGTTGCTCAAGCCCTCATGTGCTATAAAAGCTTATCGATTCACCAGGCAATCTCTGCAAAAATCAATCTCAGAATCAGCCTATTTTTGTCTTAATGGATATTTGATGCTTGTAATATTAACATGATCTAGAAATATGTTCAGTACATATGAATAACGTAGATTAGGAAATTGATTTGAAGTTAACCACAGACATATTTCCACTCAAATCAGAGCACTTAAGAAACAAACATGTGGGGGCTGGAGAGATGGCTCAGAGGTTAGAGCACTGGCTCCTCAGCCAGAGGACCCCGGTTCAATTCTCAGCACTGACATGGCGGCTCACAACTGTCTGTAACTCCAAGCCTGACAACCTCACACATATATGCAGGCAAAAACACGAATGCACATCAAATAAATAAATAAAAAGAATAAACCCCTGTCTGTGAAAAGGTACCCCACAGCCTAGTTGCTGAAAAGAATATATTTTTTAAAGATTTATTTATTTATTATGTATATAGTGTTCTGTCTGCATGTATGCTTGCTGACCAGAAGAGGGCACTTGATTTCATTACAGAAGGTTGTGAGCCACCATGTGGTTACTGGGAGTTGAACTCAGGACCTCTGGAAGAGCAGTCAATGCTCTTAACCTGTGAGCCATCTCTCCAGCTGAAGGGAATATATATTTTAAAAAAAGAAACAAACATGTATTTAGGTATAGGCTGAGTAGACTGTTCTAGAAGTAAGGAGCACCTTGAATAAAGGATGCAAAGTAAGGAGAAAAGTGACCATGAGTGGGAAATACTAAGATTTCCCTGGAGGGTGAAGGATCAGATTATGATACATGAAGATAGTTCTGTAAGATGGGGGTAGGTAATGCTCCTAAAATCAAGAGATGCACTTATGCTTGAGCCAGAGATTATCTCGAACCTTTAGGAGACTTTGAGGACTAACACAAGGTTGAAAATTGACATATTAGAAGGAACCTTCTGGTATTGCATATAGAATGAGCTAATGGAAAGGATACCAGGCTTGACGTGCCAGAACTGGTTAAGGGTTTTGGTTGCAAGTGCAAACACGAAAATATGAAAGATGGGTGGAGAACATACCAGTGAGGAGAAGGATATAAAGTCTGAGATAGAAACTTGGTGATTCATTCAGGACCTGTATTCTCTTTACCCTGGGTTTGCTTTATCTTGCTTATCTAATTGCTCCTTTCTTGTCCTGTTACATGTATGACTTGTTTCTTCTATATATTTCATATGAACTATTTCTTCTGAGAACTTCAGTTTCCATTTAGTTATTCTTAAATTTGAACCTTCTAGTTGAGCCTGGTGGCACACACCTTTTATCCAGCTGCTTGGAAGACTGGAGGCAGGAGGATCACAAGATCAAGGCTAGCTTGAGAAATTTAACAAGGCTTGTCTCCATGTAAGGAGTTAAAAGTGGGTGAGGGAGCTAGAGATGCAGCTCAGTGGAGATGCAATACTTTCCTAACATTCCGCACGCCCTGGATTTAATCCTCAGTACTGTCAGTCTGAATCTTCGATTTGAAGAAAAAAAAGAAAGAAAAACTCTTTTATATTGTTTTAGCTACATTCACTACCTAGAATATTCTTCTTAGGGTAAATGTTGGACTTAGGAATGATTTGCATTGCATTTGTTATATCTCATGTCACCCCAGGGAAACAAATCCTGAAGTGGGCTCCTGTTCAGAATGAGATCAGCAGAGCCTTTAACAAAGAGAATATTTGTGTCCTTTCAAGTCCACTGAACTACGGAACGAGTGACCTTTTATTAGTGGAGGTTAACCGATGTTTCTACTTTCAAAATTCAGGCTAGTGTTGGATTAAGTGTAATTTACATTTGTTGTCTTTATGCCTACACAAAGAGAAGTAAACTCACTATATATTTTCCTTTTGACACTTTCAAGTGTGTGTGATGTGCATTGAGTATATGCATATTCAGGTGTGTGCATGTGTGTGCTCATGCATGTGAAGCCCCTAGCTTGATGTTGGGAATCATTCTCCATCTGTCTCACACCTTATTTGTTCTCTGTCAAACCCAGATCTCAGTTATTTGGCTTGTCTTGCTAGCCAGCTTCTGAAGATCTCACATCTCCCTGAGGCTAGGGTTACAGGTGGACCACCACACCTACCTGGCATTTGAGTGGGTTCTGGGGGTCCAAATTCCATCACACTTATGTAGCAGATGCTTTAACCACTAAGCCACCATTTTAGTCACTACAGAAATAAACTTTTCATGTAAATTTGCTGCCTCTCCAGTTGCATTTAATCAATCATTTTTATTCTTTTAGAGTTTTCTCTTTTTTCCATTCCTCATGTTACTACTACTACTTACAATACTACAAGTATTGTGGTATTCATGCCAGATAATTGTTAATTGTTCTACCACTAAGAAACACTGCCTATCCACTATTTTAAAATATATTTTTCCCATTCTAGTATTCTAGTTTTTTTTAATGAATTTCTCTCTCTCTGTCTGTCTCTCAATCTGTCTCTGTCTCCCTGTCTCTATCTCCCTGTCTCTCCCTCTCTCTCTCTCTCTCTCTCTCTCTCTCTCTCTCTCTGTGTGTGTGTGTGTGTGTGTGTGTGTGTGTGTGTATACATGTACTTGGACAGACATGCATGTGCCACAACACATGTGTGTTGATCAGCTCTTGGGAGCTGGTTCTCTCCTGCCTTGTAGGAGCAAGTATACTTGCACCTCCATCACGTGAGCCTTCTCCTAGGCCCCATATTAGTAAATAAGTTGATTCACTGACTGATTTTGCTTGTGTATTCACTCCAAGGCACACTTGTAGAGGTCAGAGGACAGTGGTGTGGAGCTGCTTTCTTTTCTTCTGCCATGTGAGTTCTAGAGATTTAAGTCATCAAACTTAGCAGAAAACACCATTATGTGCTGAGCTCTTTCATGGGCCCCCATATTAGTTTTTGTTTATTTGGTTGGTTTGGTTTGGCTTTTTGAGACAGTTTCTCTGTGTAGCCTTGCCTGTCCTGGAACTCTCTCTGTAGACCAGGCTGGCCTCAAACTCACAGAGATCCACCTGCCTCTGCCTCCCAAGTGCTGGGTCTGAAGGTGTGTGCCACCACTGTCTGGCCCCCATATGAGTTTTAAGGTGTTTCTTTTTCTCCCTCTTGACCTATGTTGATAGTCATTTAATGTTTTCCTTTGTTCCTGCACTTCATGTTTTCCCATTCAGGTCTACCAGATTGAACTTTCTGTAATACTACTCTGCTGGGGGCAATGGTCTTCCTTGCTCAAAGGTAGTGAGTGGCTCCCACATGCCTGTTAGAAAAATCCAGATTCACTAAGCTGCCATTCAGTGTCACCTTTTGGTTTTTGACATTTTTTTCAACATTGTCTAGTTAGGTTATGCTCCCTACAAACAAGATGAATAAGTTCTTCTTAGTTACCTTGTCATTTAAGTTTTCTGTGCATTTGTTTCTTTCTGCCTCTTCTACCTTTTCTTAGAGCATGTATCTTGCTATGTTTTCTAGACTGGCCCTGAACTCCTGCGTCCATATGAACTTCTTGAGTAACCGTCATAACATCCTACACCACTAGGTCTGGCTTACTTTCACATTAGTTCCCTTCATCCACATCCTGTGACTTAAGGACTTAGATGTGGCTATGTAGGAGAAAGTTTGTGCAGCATGTACACAGCTCTGGGTCCCAACACCAGCTGACAAAAAAAAATCCTGGGTTTTTTTTTTAAAGAACAAGTGGCCATGTATTGGGAACTTGTACATATGAGTTCTAAGAATATCAGTTGTATATTATGAGACTAAGGAGGACCGGTCAGAATTGGAAACCACGGACCAACCACATCTTTCTCTTCTCTGTGTCCTTACTTGTCACTGTCCTCCTTAGGAGGTATTTCTCATAGCCCTTTATACTGATAGATGGTCACCACTCAAAGGGACCTACTTTCAGGGCCTACATTGACACAAGATCCTTGCTTCATTTTGCTTGGTATATTATGTATCATGTCAGATTCATTTGTCAGATTTACTAACACATGTTTCTAAACTTAATATTAGAGTACAAATTTTTGTTAAATTGGATAGCTGACACTCAGAATCAACTTTACATTTAGAAATATCATAATGATAGGACAATATGGACCTTATAAGTACTATTATTAGGACTCTGGCTACTTTATTTCACATGGTATTTAAAAGTATAGGTAAATGCAGAAAAGCATGTTTAATTCAAAAGTATCTAACAATATTAAGACCCCTAATTGCCATATTAACAACTCAGGATAATAGGTTCAGGATTCTCACTTGCAATCCCCGGGAAATAAATGCTCACTCCTGCTCCAGACACCTTTGCTTCTCTGATAGCAAGTCTTAGATTTCTCCTTACACCTACCAGACCTGAGATGGGATTTAGCCTTGATTTTCTCAGTGGTCAACAATGGGATCAGGAAGAATCCAGTTGAGAGTCTCTGGGGCAGTGTACCCCACTTCCTCCTAACTTTAAACTGCTTCACTTATCCCTATGTAGAAAATACTTTACCTGCTTCAGAGATGAAGACACTGAGACAAGATGAAGTTTGGTAAATTGCCTGAGCAAACTGTAGGAGGCAGAAGGAAGATTTATACCAAGACCTGTCTCACATCTGGGCTGATACTCTTTGCATTAACCTTGCTGCCTTGTGAATAGCAGTTATCACTGTTCCTAGCTGATTCTAAAAGTACTCCCACAGGTCTCCCCTGCCTCTATCTGGGAAGCGCTTGTGTTGTCCTTTCTGAGTTGTCTACCTGAGTACGGTGATAATGAATGGGGTTAGTCAGACCTGGGATCCAGTGTTGACTGTCACTTATTACCTGTGTGTGACCTTGGGCAAATAATTTAACCTCTCAAAGCCTCAGTTTCTTCATCTGTAAAATGGGAATAATGTTTCTTAATGATGTGCAGATAAAGTGACATCATATATAAACCCTTGGCATGGCTGCTGGTACATGGTAGATATTTCTTAAGTGGTGGTGATCACTGCTGCTGCTCTCACTCCCATTGGGTTGTAATGACTGCAGAAATAACAAGGAAGAGAAAAGGTGCTGTTTCCCCTGCTTCTTGTCTTTTATGTCCACTGGGAAAATCAAGGAACTGATGGATACTGTGATCCACAAAGCTCTGAGATAAAATCCATGTACATTTCAGTAGGCCCTTCAAATCTGGGGAGTCTATAGGCCTTTGAGGAGGCGGGTGGGTACCAGGAGAGGGTAAAAGCTCTTGGAGACTCCGGGCACTAGATGAGATGAGACGAGCGATAGAAAGGAGTAACTCATCACTTGCTTCTGAGTGTCTGTTCTCAGGCCAGCAACCAGGTTCCTCCATGAAGGCAGCATTAGGATGAGGTAAGAACTGCACATGACAGCAGATGAACAGGAAGACGCAGCACCAGGCTTGACTCGACCCTCAGGCAGCTTCCTGGGGTCAGAAAAGTCAAGGCCTGTAGAAGGATGGTTTTTGAATGATAATCTCAGCGAACTGTATAATAATATACTATGCATGACCAAGATCTTCGCATGTGGAAAACGTGTTCTATTTTCAGTGCTTGTCATTTGAAGGGTTCAGAGCTTTTAAAAGCCCATGTCTAGCAAGCTAGCAAGATCTAATACTGAGCTGTTTCTAATGCTGTGAATTAACTCTGATCATTGTCTATCTGCCAATGACTTTTCTCCTGCTCTGCTCTCAGGAAGAAGACAGCTTCCTAGAAAAGGTAATTCAATTCATTGGTGGTAATGAAGGCTTCCTTGTGCTTGATTAACACTTAACTGTGGTCCCTGGAACTTACCCCTAAGCATTCTCATATCAGAGGCCTCTGACTTGGTGAGAATTCCCTAATAAGCCCTGATGTCCTGCCGTGTGTTTTGAAGTATGCTCAAAATTCAGGAATGATGTTTATCCATCTGACAAGTTGTTGATAGTGTTTATAAAAGAAATAAAACTCAAGATATAGATTTTATTGAGACGGGGTCTCATGTATTACGGGCTAGCCTCAAGCTCATTATGTATCAAAAGTGGCCTTGCTGTTTGATCTTCCTGCCTTCACCTCCCCAGTGCTGGGATTATAGCAGCCCTGGTTTTATGCAGTCCTGAGACTCAAACTTGGGCCTTATAGTAGATGGCAGATAAGCGTTAAACTGAGCTACATCTCTAGGCACCTAGTGCCTTACATATACTACAAATGTACTACCACTGAGCTGTACCCCAGCTGTATTTGCATTTCTTAATTTCCAGACAAGTGGTGGACCATGAAGCTACATCTCTAGCCCAGATTTCCAGATTTGTCTTTGAAATATCTTATCTGAAAACTCATGAGTTGGAGGGTACTGTTTAGCTGCCCCGGCTTCCAATGATAGTACCACCCCAAAATGCTATTCCTGTAGCATTAATAGTGATTTGGAAGCTGGGGAGATGGCCCTGTCAATAAAGGACTTGTCGTTAGGCAACCTTGAGGGCCCAAGTTCAGACTTCCAACACCAGTGTGAACAGAAGAGCTAGGTACAGTAGCATACATCCGTGATGCCAGTGCTAGGGAACAGATAGATACCAGTAGGCCCCTGAAGCTCACTAGCCAGCCCGTCTAATAGCATCTGTGAGCTCCATATTCACTGAGAGAACCTGTCTCAGAAAAAAAAAAAAAAACAAGATGGAAACAGACTGAGGAAGACAGTGGTGTCAGCCTCTGGCCTACATACACACATGTACCCAGGCATGCATAGGGATCACAAAGGAGTGATTTGGGAGTTCTTGATAAGAATGGCTAATTACTCTCAGAGAATACCCAGATATAGTCAAGAAATAAAGCATAGAGTAGAATTGTGGAACTAAATCATAAATGGAGAAAATCATAAATCATCTAATCTAGAAAGAAAGATATTTTCTATGTTCTAGCAGGCATGGCACAAGGTCCAGAAAAGTAGAAAAGGCTATTAAAAGGTCCCACTGCCTCTGAGCACCAGTGTCAGGTGTGAGTGCTGTTTCCTAACTGTCCAGTGGTATGCCCCTTCTGCAGTGCCTCACAGCCTCTTCCATCATCAACTGGAGATGCCAGGCTCCCCTCAGGGCTGCCAAACATTGGCAGGAGCTCGACATTCCACAGCATGCTCATAGAGTGCTTGAGGGACTTCTCCACTGGATGGAATTGAATACGTTGTGAAGGTGGAGATTCTTTAACCACTAGCATTAAGATTACAAAGTGTAGGCTAAGAAGGCAAACAGGAGGTCTTGTTGAAAGAAGCAGAGTGTCTTGGTTCCTGCTTGAACATCAGAGTTCACAATAATGTACAGAACATTTTTGTAACTATTCATGCCCCAGTGTCTTATTGTATCCTTTTCTAGGCCTCAGAGCTACAAGTGTGACATTTCCTATTATCACACGTGAATTTGGAAGTGGATAGTAGATGCTGTGTATAACCTACTGACATTTTATTAACCTTTTAAACCACTAAGGCTTGAGACATCTTTGCTTCTTAGCTCTTCTCTGTTAAGGGCAGTCCATGTTCTGTCTGTACAGTTAGACTGTGCCTTGCATTGTCCTAATTCCTCAGGACAGGAAAAACCTTTAGTTGGATGTCAGATTTTTCTTTGAAAATATATGAGTCAATGATGAATAATTTATACTTGTTAAGTTTGGAGACATCTGCTAAAGAGTCTGCACATGTGTCCTGTTTGATTCAAAAAGTTAGTAGCGTGCATTGTGAAATGTTTGGGCTCTGATAGCAGGTGGATGCCTGTGTGTAATATGTGCAACCAGGATGAAGTTAGTGGGCAAGTCACCAATAGGAGTTATAGCTACCATGTAGAGTATGAATATCAAGACATAGCATCCCAGGGAAAGAGAGGAAGTAAATGTGAAAAGAGAAATGTAGAGAGATTGAAATGGTAGCCAACAATCCCTATTCCCTTCTCTTCCCTGAAAAGGATGTAGCAGCTCAGGAAGTTCATTGGTGCTTATTAAAGAGCACCCTGCTAAGTAAATACCTGGGTGCTTCTGTAGTATATGTGGTCCCTGTAAGCATAGTGATAGGTTTTTTTAGTTTCCCTTAAAGCTATATGGCTGGAGGTTATAGATAGTATGGTGTCAGGCAACAAGCTGAAAGTTGACCATATATAATGTATGCCTTAGAGGTAGCAAAAGGAAGAGGATGCTAAAAGCCGAACATGGCTTTATCCACTGGGGTTCCTCTGAAGGCTGCCTTCAGATACCCTTTAGCCTAGTTTGAATATGTTTTTCATATGCTTTATATTTGAATCTATAAATGTAAGCTAAATTAACTTATTTTTGAGTGTTGAGAGATAATTGAGTTGATTTTGCCCTTTGAATTTAGTTATTTGTCTGATATATGTCACTTCTGGATTTTTGCCTTCTATTTTTTCAGAAGACTCTAACAATAGAAAACTAGGTAAAACAAATAATAGCCCCTAGAAATCTTTCTGAGGTATTAAAATAAATTAAACTTCTGGAAGTTTTCACAGTATTCTAGCTCCTCAGTTGCTATATTCCAGGTTATTACTTTTAGATTTTGGAGCTTATGATTAGAAACTTGGATCAAGCCTGAAGAATCCATATTTGTGCATCTAATGAGCAGAATTATCTTTAATTTTTCAGAACCAAGTCAATCAGTTAAAGAAACAATAAAACTCCCAGGAGTATTTGTGGTGAGACTTCAAGGGAGAGTTACTGTAGAGTAAACTAAAAACTAAGTGTGAACACTGCCTTTCGGGGTGCCATATTAACAACTGTGATTTCAGGGTCCAGCTACTGGTCATGTCTAGACTCTACTGGGACTGTATTATTTTCTTGTCATGCTGGGTCTTACTTCAGAGTATGGAATGCATCCAGAGGATGCACACCCCGAGTACAAATGAAATGCTTGCTAACTGAATGAAGCACTTTGGGAAGGCGATTAGTTAACTACCAGAATCACTACTGAGTGCCTCCCGAAGGATGTCCCTTCTGAGAAGAAAATGCAAAAGCATAAGAGACAAAGATCACACTGTGCTTACTTGTGCAGATTTTGAAAGAGATTTATCTCTTTATTCTGAGTCCCCTTTGACTTCCATCCCTTTTTATCTGTTAGGAGAAATCCGTTCTCCAGATGGTCCCCTTGGAGGAAGGTGCCAGTGAGCGACCCCTTCAGGTCCCCAAGGAGATCTGGCTTCTAGTAGATCACTTATTCAGATATGCGCGTCACCAGGTAAGTGTGAGAAAACCTTCTGTGAAACTGTACAGTGTGTGTGAATCCTGTAGGAAATCCCAGTGCTTCGCACCAGTGTAGTGCATTTTACCCATCCAAGCAACCTCCATGCAGCTGCGCTGTCGGACCTCTAAAGCATACAAGCTGAGAAGGCACCTGAGACCGCACTCTGAGTCTGACAGCAGAGCCATGGCCAGAACTAAGAATGCCCAAGGCTTGTCTACGCACTTTGCCCTGAACGACTGAGTGCCCCAGTCCAATGCCTGTTTTTCGCTGCCCTGTGGCCAAGTGCAAATTTTAAAATTAAAACAAACTTCACACCCATTTCTTTCACGTAGCACTGAGTTTTCTTTTAAATCCTATACTGAAACACTAGCCATGTCCGACTCATTCCCTAAAAGAAAGAACTTTCTTTGATCAGATTAAAGGTAGTGTTTCTCAGACCTACTGAGACCAATATAACTTGGAAACCAAGTTTTTTCATGAATGTGCCATTTCTTCCTTTCCTGGCATCCAATTCTGTCCATATTTGATATGGCTGTGATTATACAGGGTTCACTCTGCCTTGTTTTCCAGAGCCTCAGTGGACTGTCTGGCTTCCTGATCTGGCCATCTAGTCCCTTGCCCTATCAGGTAGAGGCTGACATGTCATTTTTGGACAGGTCATTTTCTTGCTTGAAATAAACTTTGACACGGATTACAGAAATGCTAAAGGAAGACAAGGTTACCTCCATACCTCCTTCGCTACCCGTTAATGCTTGTGCACCCCCCCCCCTTCACATTTCTTCCTGCTGCTCTCCCAGTTCCTGGGCATGGATAGCTTACCTAGGTCCCTTCATTCTGACTTCTTTGGTAGGAGGACCTGTTCCAAACCCCTGGAATGCAGGAGGAGTTACAACAGATCATTGATTGTCTGGACACCAGCATTCCTGAGACAATACGTATCCTTTCTGCCCAAGGCTCGGGAGGCTGGACAGATGCGTGGCCAAAGTCTTTTCCCACCTGCGTTTGATTTTGTGTTTCTATGTTGACTTTTGTCATTGTCTTACTATAAGATAGTCACAGACTATCCGGTTATTTTCTCCAGACCTGTCGAAATCTGTTAGTCTCTCTGTGTGGCCTAAGAGGAGTGGAGGGGTGGGCAAGAAGGAGCAAGGGACAGGGGATCCACAGCACCAATACTGCTCCCCTTCAGCGGGCTGGTTATTCCCGCTAGCCTTCCCATTCAAGTGCTATCACTAGGGCTGGAAGAAGAATAAGAAAACCACTGACATCTAGTTTATATCCCATCCACTGGGCCCTATCATTGTGTAGGCTGTGCTCCCTGAGTCTCTAGTTTAGTGAAGGGACTCCCAAGGGGCTTTGGACAATTCTCTACCTACTTGGCTGCAAAATACCTAGACCATTATCAAACTCCAGTCAGGAGCAGTGTATCCTAAAAGAGAAGAGAAAAATCATCCCTCTTAGAGACTTGAGGAAGGGAGCCAGTCAGCTGTCTGTCTTGCTTTTCTCTGGGTCCCTTTGCCCTTGACTAAGGTTATTCAGCTGGCAGTAACCACTCTGTGGCTGAAGCACTGCTTATTTTCCTGGAAGCGCTGCCGGAGCCGGTCATCTGTTATGAGCTGTATCAGCGATGTCTTGACTCTGCTCATGATCCTCGGATCTGCAGACAGGTGAGTTCTGCTGCTCTGGGGCTATGCCCAGTGCAGGTTTCCCATAGAGGAGTCTTCAGTTTTACAAAGCTATATGATAGAATGGGCCTGTGTCTGTTCTTCATGACAGGATACCATCATTAAAAGTTAAGACCCTTGAGCCAGGCACGGTGGCGCATGCCTTTAATCCCAGCATTCAGGAGGCAGAAGCGGGCAGATATCTGACTTCCAGACCAGCCTGGTCTACAAAGCCAGTTCCAGGAAAGCCAGGGCTACACAGAGAAACCCTGTCTTGAAAAACCAAAAAAAACAAAAATTAAGACTGGGAGAGCCAGTGAGATTGTTTGATGGGTAAAGGCGCTTTCCACAAAGCCTAGTAACATAAGTTTGATCTCCAGAGCCAAGGGTGATGATAGCAAAGAACCAATTCCCACTGGTTATTCTCTGATCTCTGCAAACACCTTGCCCCTGACACACACTATAAATGAAGGAAGTTGAAACCCTTGAATTTAGGTACTAATATTTTCTACTATATTGGAATGTGTTCTAGTTGACCTATTTCTGTTAACAGAAAACTTAGTGGAGTGGTTATGTGAACCCAATGGTTGTTTGGCAAGCAATTGTAAGGGCAGTTCAGCTGTCATTACCAGGAAAAGTGGGTAGCAATTAGGAGCCTTTCTTTTTCCTCTTCTCCCTTTCCTTCCTTCCCCTTCTTTCCTTCTTGGTGTGTTTTTAATCTTGAGAAGATTTTGGTCCACAATGGCTAAGACCAGCTATGAATCACTTCAGTGAGTGCAGATAGGAGGGACCCATCATTGCCAAGTAAAATCGTAGAGAAAAATCATTTAAGTTGACAGATGCCTTTGCTGTTGGGGGAAAAGGAAAAAGGGAACAGATGAACGCTTGCCTTCTGGTGAGGCACTATGCGAATGGGACTCCGAGGTGAGTGCATGACCTGGTCATTGAATAGAGAGAAACCAGACCATACCCACTTCAGAGTTATAATTCGTCAGGTAGCAAATCTACTACTGGTCATGAGTAAGTAATGGAGGGTAGTGACCGGCAAATGGGGCCTCTAAGAGTTAGATTCCAGATTGTTCTAAATGGCAGCTCTAAATGCGTATGCCCTTTAAGCTATTTACCTCACTCCACGCTCCTCTTTAACAAACAGGTCATTTCCCAGCTTCCAAGATGTCATAGAAACGTTTTCCGCTACTTGATGGCATTCCTTCGCGAGCTCTTAAAATTCTCTGACTACAACAACGTCAGTGCCAACATGATCGGTAAGGGCGCTTCATGAGCAAGTCTGTGCGAGTGTTTGCCAGGAATCATCTGGGAGCATCATGCGTAATCTCTACCGTATTTGATGTTCGGGAACGGAGCAGTCACTTCCCTCCTGCTGTTCTTGTTCCCTCCACCTTGAACCTTCAGGTTTTGCTTAGGTCATGTCTGACCATGGGTTTTCCCTTTTCTTTCTTCTACCCTCCAGCTACTCTCTTCACGAGCCTTCTCCTAAGGCCTCCACCAAACCTCATGGCAAGACAGACCCCAAGTGACCGCCAGCGTGCCATCCAGTTCCTTCTGGGCTTCCTGCTCGGGAGCGAGGAAGACTAAGTCTTTTCCTATGTGAGATTCTAGAGGAGGAAGATCTTGGGCTCCATGTATTTCAGAATGATTTGAAGAGTCATGACACCAAAAGGGTCTACTGTAGGATCTTACGTTCTGGTAATAGTACAACGGAAAGAGTTTCTTCACCCCTCCTCACCATATCCTACACAGCAAAATCCTTTTAGACATATATTGCCAAGCCAAAGTTACCATATTTTGGTGTTTTGTGTTTACTCTTTGTAAAGCAAAGAGGTCTGTATTTATACTCCTTTACCTAGGGGTGTGTTTCCTGCCCTATTTCCCAGGCATCACGATTATCTTTAATGCCCCAGGCCTAGATTGTGAGGCATACATTCTAGGCCTACAAGCACTACTTGCTATAACTCAGACTTGTCTGTAGTCCTTCTCATAACGCACTTTGGACGCACCGTCTCCCCACGTCACTACTTCGCACTCTGAAGGATGCCTGGATGAGGCTAGTGACTCCATGGGTGTCCTCAGCCATGAAGCTCACTGTCTACATGTGATTGGTACATGCATTGGTGCATTTCTACTACAAGGATGTCTATGTGTCACTGTACCGTTGGCCTTCTCGTGGATCCACACTTGGTGGAACCATATTCCCTTGTCTCGGGTCATGTTTAGTTACATAGTTTTATGGACCATAGAGATGGCATCCCACTGATGTGAGAAAATCACACGAGCAAGGAAAGCCCTGTGAGTACTTGAGGAGTGAAACTGTCCATTCTTGACAGGTCCTGCTTCCTACTTCCCTTTGCCAGTTAGTATCAACACTTGACATGAGGCGTACGTAATCCTGGATGGTCGGGAACCCATCTTCCACTAGAAACCTACTTCCAGAGTAATGTTTGCATCACAGACAAACAAGGAGTCTGTGTACCTCAAAGTGAGGCCCCATGGACCTTTGCTACTCCCCTAGACTTATTGAGGGTAACCCTCAGAACCCTTTCTCCTATCTTCTGACGTATCACGGGAATACATTGCCCTCTCTCAGCAGGGCTGACTCTGGGCTCCATATCTGACTCCTTCACATCAAGAATTGAAAGACTGAGTGCCCTTGGCGCCTAGTCACCATATCCAGTGCTGTTTAAGAGAGGCTGGTCAGTGGGACCAGCCACACACTTTACCTCTCCCACCTAAAATGACTCTGGGCTTTTCATTTTATTCAAGCATTGTGGTGTGGACAGACTTTTTTAAGAACTAATATATTGGCTGGCAAACAAGCCACCACCAGCTACTGACTGCAAACCACCTGGTGAAATTGGCTTGCTTGGTTCTCTTTCATCAAAACCAACACGAGTTATCTCATTCTTGCCTATTACCATTGGGCATAACGAGCTTGTAGAAGGCTGTGTGTACAATCTTGGGTCCTGATTCCATGACTCTTGTAGCATCCAAGGAGAAGACCAGGGAAACATCCACCATCCAGTGGTTTGCCAGTTCTCTCGTCTCCTCAAAAATTGAGCTCTTTGGAGAACAAAAGGTGTGTATCCTGCAGTAGACCACTTAAGCCCTTTCCCAAATGGGAGTTGAGAAAAAGAACTCAAAGTATTGGTGCCAGCAAACTGAATGTCTTACCTGGGTCAATAGTTGTTTAGTGGAAGACTCAGAACTAGTTTTGTTGTATCTATTAGGCCAGAAAGTAATCACCTAAAAAGCAGATGATAGGCGCTGGGTCTAGGCAAGGTGGTCCACAGGGAAAGGCCTCTCCTGTGCCCATTCTGTAATATTTTGCCAACCTTTGGTCTTTGGGTGACCAAGAATATGATTAGTAGGGGCTCTGTGGAGCATGCATGTAATGTCCTTCCTTCCTCAGGCCAAAGCACCAAGTTGCTTCACTGCCTCCACCTTTTGTCCAGCTTGGCCTAGGATGTATATAGGGTTGAGGCTTTTAGACAATCTCCAGGTAGGGGATACAAAACAGATCAGATGGAAGAAACTCGCTTCCCTACCCTGCCTCTCCAGAACCCTGACCTCATAGTTCCTCTGAATTAAGAATTTTATATCCAACTGATAGGGAGGAATCCCTAATTCCTTCAAGGTACTATTTCATAGTTCTTCCAAATTAAGGATTTCATATCCAATTGGTAGGGAGAAACTCGGCACCTCATGTCTTCGGGAAGAAATGATTCAAATCTATTGGATGCTATTACATTAGTTTCCTTTCACTGCTTTCTGATTCTTAATCTAAAGTTCTTTGTTATATTTCACAAAAATGTCTCAGTCACTAAGCAAAGCTGCTAGTGGGAGTCTGTATTTTGTGTCATCTTTTTTTATTATAATTTATTGCAATTTTTCTGAATAAATATATGTTGTGTGAAAAATCATTGGGACCTTAGTGAGAAAGAACTGAAGGGAGGAGACTTGTATCACTTGGTCTCACTTGGCTTTTTTGGAGTCCCCATCAACTAACTATACCTGTATGTGTCACCACCTAGCTTACAGAGAAATACCATTTAAAATTTCTGCACTGGGTCTATAACTCTAGTTTAAAGTGCTTACTTACCATGCACAAGGCCTTGTGTTTCATCCTTAGCACCAGGACTACAAAATGGTGGTGGCACATGTCTTAAATCCCAACACTCAGGAGGCAGAGGCAGATGGATCTCTGTGAGTTCAAGGCCAGCCTGATCTACAGAGTGAGTTCCAGGACAGCCAGGGCTGTTACACAGAGAAAACCTGTCTCGAAAAACCAAAAAAAAAAAAAAAAACTGTGTTTTCCTGGGCTGGTAAGCTGATTCCATGGATGAAGGTACTTGTCATCAATCCCGATGCCCTGAGTTCATTTCCCAGGAACTACAATAGTAGAAAGAAGGAACTGACTCCTGAAAATTGCCCTCTGGCCCCTACATATGTTGTGGCATGGCCGCATAAATAAAATTGGAGCTAGAGATGTCTCAACAGTTGAGAGCACTTACTGCTCTCATGGTGGACCCAGGTTTGGTTCCCGGCACCCACATCTGGCCGATCACAACTGCTATAACTCCATCTCCAGGGACCTAACAGCCTCTGCAGGCACCTGCACACATATGGTGCATGTACACATGCACACAAATAAATAAATAAAACAATAAAGAATAAATCTTTTTAATGAAAAACTTAAAAAGATGTATTTTCCCTAAGAGATGAGAAGCCATGTATTTTCAGAGACTGATGAAGAAGTCCTGTACTTTTAGGGCCAGCAAATATCCTTATTTTGACTCTAAGGATTCAGGCAACAGTGAATTCATCTGTTCCATGACACATCCCACCCCACCCCCTGGGATGGCATGTGCAATGGAATCTCACTATATTGCTGAGGCTGATCTTGAACTTCTAGACTCACTCAGCCCTCCTGACTCAGCCTCCTTTGTAGCTAGGGTTGTAGTTACACACCATCTTGCCTGGTTGGATGTTGAGTCTTAATCCTGTAAATGTCACCACAAGGTCACATCCATGATCCCACCAGCTCCAGAAGTAGGACAAGTCCTAACACCCACATTTCAGAGGAGCCTGGTTGCCCTTGGAGCCAGCCTAGGTGGGTTAGATGTGCCTCCCAAAGAGCCTGCCTTCACATAATCCATTTTAGAGCTTCTGAAAATCAGTGTATTATTTAGGGTGATGAGGTGCATAGATTTACAAACACTTGGGGGAGGCTCTGGTATGATCTCTCTGGCACTTGGAGAAGATGCTCGTCGGCTCAACAGGACACTACTGTCCCCTGGCCCATCCACAGCATGAAGTTGTGGCTTCTGACTTCCTTACCCTGGAGACTGGAGAAGCTTCAGCTGGAGGTTTCTTCTCAGCCAGGGCCTTTTTCCAGTTCCCTCCCTCAGTGAGCCTGCCAGATCCATGTGCTGATTCAGTGTTGTTAGGACTCCTTGGGGGAGGGGGTTCTAACTCCACCCAAAGGCTTGGCAGAAGTGTGTCCCTTTCTGTGAATGGAGACTGACAGCCAGCAGTTTCTACTTAGCAGAGGGCAACGTGGCATGGCAGGCGTCATAGCTGTCCTTGTCAGAAGTCAGAGCGAATCTGCATCCCCACTTTCCCTGCTGCTCGCTTGTGTTATAGGGGCCCCGTTAGAGCCTTTCTGTTGCAAGGCAAGTTGAATGGGCTCTTGGTGTGGTTTAATAATCCATAGCCACCTAGTGTTACTATAAAAACCCCAGAATGTTGAGAGATACTTAACAAATGATCTAATTCATTGTTATTGTTCAAATAGAGAGTTTCAGAGGGGACAATGATTGACACGTCCTGTAGTATGGTGGAAAGAAAAGGCTGAAGCTTCACAGTTTGACATGGGTCAATGAACACCCTACATATACCTTATGTATATATATATATATATACATATACCTTAACTTATACCCACCAGTTAGCATTTCACCACACTCACCTTATCTTGAGTCTACTGTTCAATCCAGTTTCTGCCACTTCTTTATTGTGAGTGACTTTGGACTTGTTACCCTATAGTTTTCTTGCCTGTAAAATGAAACAAGTATAATATTTAGCTATGTGGTATAATTACATCAGTCTCATCACCTCCTTGTTAAAAAAAAAAAACCTGAACTATTACCTGGCACACTTAGAACAATGTCCCAACTTTCTCGTGGTCTTCGAGGTCTGGCATTGTTAAATGGAAAGTACATTAATAAGTGCCAGCAATATTCCATGCCACATAGAAGTGCTCTATAGATTTCCCACTCCCCGATTCTGTTTCTAGCAAACTGACTGTACCTAAGGCTTTAGATTTCGCACTTAATGCTAATAACCTTGTCAGCTAGGCAAGAACCAGCTTGTACTCAGTCTGTTCCACTCCCCGTCATCTGACCCTGACATGCCAGGGTCATGTCATGTGTGACATGCCAGCACAGCACAGCTATGCCTCTGTATCTCAGAACTTATCAGTAGCCCATTTTCAAGTGATAATTATTATATTAGTGTGTGAGAGAGAGAGACAGACAGACAGACAGAGAGAGAGAGTATGTAGGGCAAGGAACAACTTCCAGGATTCAGTCCTCTCCTTGTACTGGGATTCAGGTGTTAAATTCAGATTGTCCGGCTTGTGTGACAAGTTCTTGTCACTCACTGGCCCATCTGGGTGGCCCCCAGAAACCTTTAGCAAAGTGGGCTTGGGATATAACAACGCCAAATATGGTGGTATACATCTGTAAACCCAGTGTTTGCTTAGGAGGCCAAACCAATTTAGAAGCCAGCCTGGGTTATATGCTGAGATCAAGGTTAGTCTTAGCTGTGTAACAAAGGCCCTATCTTGATTGATTGGGGTAGTTTGTTTCTTCGTGTGTGTGTGTGTGTGCGCGCGCGCTCGCATGCATGCATGCATGCATGGGTATGTGATAGTGCCCACAGGAACAGAAGATGGTATTGGATGTCCTGGAGCTGGATCTGTGGTTCTAGGCAGTTGTAAGTTAATTGATAGAGGTGCTAAGAACAGATCTCAGATCCTCCTCAGGACAGTATGTGCTTCTAGCTCCGGAGCCATCTCTTTGGCCATACCCACCCAAATTAAACAAACAAAAAAGAATGAATAACAAGCCCACCCATGTGAAACACCTGGCTGCTGTCCAACTTTGAGAGCCACACTGGCTGCTCTGCCCATTCCTCCCTACTGCCTCTTGCTTTTTAAGGAGCTTTGCCTTATCTTGTGTGCCTGACTTCTACCTCTTCCTGCTCGGTGAATAAATGCCTTGTTTTGGCCTTTGCTGCCTGGACCACTGCTAACTCCTTACCTGAACTGATTCTTAGCCCACAGTGCTACTTTCTATCTCTGTTCTGGGGAAACTATTCCTATTCCCCTGGCCCCCTTAGTAAAGAAAAAGAGTTTGCCTGCTCCTGAATCATGCTTCGAAGACATAGCTCTGGACTGTTGACTTCCCCATCTACAATTTAGGTGAGTGGTTCTTAATCCTGGCCTTCATTGCCGTCATCTACAGCTATGGTTCTCAAAATGTGGTCCCCAAGGACAGCAGCATCAGCAACACCCGGAAGCTGCTCTAATTTTACTGTGGCATGTAAAAATGACCACTGCCATAGCTACACTTAAGACCCTTGAATAAGATTGCCCTCTCGAGTCTTGGGCATAAAAATATCTTGAGAGCTTCCTAGGACATTGGTCCTTACACTACACAGAGTCACCTGAGGGCTGAAGAACTACCAGAAAGACTGGAAGTCACCTCCAAATTGCAGAGTAGGTCTGGGGTGGGTATTTTATTTCATGTTTTGTTGCTATAACAGAATACTCGAGGGCTGCATAATTTTGATGGGATCAGGAATGATCTTAGTGCTGTGGCCATAGACAAGACAAGGTAATTTAAGAGGCATAGATATTTATTTTGACTGACAACTATGTGGGTTAAAGATCTCAGGAGCATGGCACGGGCATCTGCTTGGCTTCTGTTGTGGGCTTCCTGGTTCTTCAACTCTTAGCAGGAAATAGGAGAGTAGGAGGAGACATTTAGAAATGAGAAAGAAGGACTGAACTCATTATATGTAACCCATTCCCACAAGAAAAGCATTAATTTCAATTAATGAGGGCTCTGTCCTTATGACCCCCATCCCTCCCATTAGATCCTACCTTTTGACAATGATATGACTGGAAACTGAGCCCCAACATTAATTTTTTTTCTGAAGACAAGTATGTTTAAAGCCTCGCAGGGGAAATGGCAAGCATTTGTATTTCTGACAAGCTCTTGTGTGTTCTAGTTTCATTTCTGTTGCTATGATATAATATCCTGACAAAAAGCAACTTAAGGGATAAAGGGCTTCTTTCCAAGGGAGAAAGGGTTTATTTTAACCCACAATTCGGGCTGGAGAGATGGCTCAGAGGTTAAGAGCACTGGTTGCTCTTCCAGAAGGGCCCAAGTTCAATTCCCAGCAACCGCATGGTGGCTCACAACCATCTGTAATGAGGTCTGGTGCCCTCTTCTGGCCTGCAGGGATACGTGGAGGCAGAATACCATATACATGATAAATAAACATCATTTATTAACCCACAATTCTAGCTTCCAGCCCACCACTAACGGGAAGTCACAGTGGCAGGAGCCTGAGACAGTTGGTCACATGACATCCATAGTCAAGAGCAGAGAGAATCGAATGCATACATGCTTGCATGCTTGCTGGTGCTCAGCTTTATTTCTACTCTGTTATAGTTCCAGACCCCCTGCCTGGTGAATGGTGCTGCCCACAGTGGGCAAGGTCTTCCCACATCAATAATTAGGCACTCACCTCAGACATGTCCACAGTCCAATACAATGTATTCAAACCCTCATTGAACCCCTCTTCCTAAGTGATTCTAGGTTGTGTGAGGTTGACATCAAAGCTAGGATCA